GTGTGCTTCTGAACCCTGGCATTTTGTGCACCCCCACCCCTGGCTTCTCCTCTTTCCCCCTGAACAATGGGGAACTAGCTGGATCCTCTTAAAGGAGCAGTGTCCCACAAGCATGCTTCCGGCTGCCCAGACTCACCAGCCTGTGCCCTCCCCAGCGCCCTCCTACCGCTCAGTTAACCCCAGTTGCCTGTAACAGTGACGACAGGCCACATGTGACAGCGAGAGGCAAGCATTGTGCCCCAGCTGACCAGAGAGGCCATCGCCAGTGGCCCAGTCTCCTGACATCTGCAGAGGCCTGAGCCAGGGTCCTGCCGCCCCTGTGGGACTTGGGGCTAGCCCCCAGAATGACATGAATCCCAGCACAGAGTGACATGCATCCCTATACCCCGTCACACCCTGGAGGAGGGGGGCACACTTCTGGGACTGTTCGCCTGGTCCTGCGGGGCTCCTGGTCCCCATGCCACAGAGCTACTTGGATGAAAAGCCACCAGGCACTGGGTCAAGTGCCTGCCCTAGAAACTAGTGCCTCTCTTCTGATGCTCCTGCAGGACTCCTGCCAGCCATACCTCCCTGATGGCCCCTGGTGGTGGGACTGGGGTCCCTGGCCGTGACAACACTACACAGGGGGCTACCTGCACAAGGATGGGGGGAAGGGGGAGGCTGTTAGAAAAGGGGAAACCTTGCGATGCTAATGTTCAAGCGGAATTGAAGTCGGACAGGAGGGCTGTGCTGCGCTGTGCTTGAGCTGAGCCTAGGACTGCCCTCGTGAGGGGCCAGCCCCTGAAGAGCTGGACAAGGCCTTGTCTTGACCTGACCCTGCCATGTCTCAGCCAGATAGGAGATAGCTTTGGAGGACCCATGGAACCCGACTGGGTGTCCTGGGCTGCTGAGACCCATAGAAGGGTCTATGGGTCTACCCACCCACCCCCAATCCCCACAGCTCACCCAGAGCGGCCCTGATGCAGGGAGGCCCAAGGGAGCAGCTATGGGGACGACTGAGGGGGCAACTGGACTGAGTTCTCCTCGGTCAACTTTGTGTCCCTGTACCCCACACACACACCTCGCTCCCCCCACCCCCAGGTGGCTGGGGAGCTGAAGTACCACCCCTGGTGCCGTCATGGTTAGATATCGGACTCCTAACCGAAAGGCACCAGCCACTCCGCAGGAGAAAAGATGGGTCTCAGAAACTCACAAGGGCCGTTCGGTCCTGCCCTACAGGGTCCCTCTGAGTCAGCTTCAACTTGATGGCAGTGGGTTGGGGTCTTTTGGGGGTGTGGGGGGGGGGTTTGAGACCCAGTGGCATCTATAAAACAAGGATAGCTACTTGTTTTTTTTTTTTCTTTTTAAAAATCATTTTATTGGGGGCTCATACAACCCTTATCACAACCATCTATTGTGTCAAGCACATTTGTACATTTGTTGCCATCATCATTCTCAAAATATTTGCTTTCTAACTGAGCCCTGGGTATCAGCTCCTCATTTTTACCCCACCCCTCCCTCACGGACCCTTGATAACTGATAAATGATGATTATTTTGTAGCCACTCGGTTTCATGGTGATGTGCGACATCTAAGTAAATCAATCAAGGAAACAGGAAGTTGCTAGCACTTAGTAGGCCTGCAAGGCTCCAGCAGGTCATGGCCACCCACATGGGCTGGCCCCGGCGCCCTCCACATTGCTCAGGGACAGGAAGGGGAGGGGAGGGGAAAAGCCCTCCCAGAAGGCTGGGTCCTGAGCCTTCTTTGCCCCACCCCCACCCCCTGATCTTGGGCTCCCAGGCCCCCTTCCGGCCTCCCCCTGGCTGGTGACCAAGAGTGGGTAATCCCCTGCTCTCTCTGGGCCGCCTGTCATGACAAGGAATAGGAACCGAGATGAGAAGCCTGGTACCTCTCACCCCTGGGGACCTCCAAAGGAGGGGCCGAAATGGTGCCCAGTGCGTGGGTTGGACGCCCCTCAGCCAGTGGCCACAGGCAGTTGGCAGGTTGTTCCCTCCACCCAAGGCTTTGGTTGATGGAGGGGCTGGTGGCATCTCCCCCCCAAAAGGCACACCGTGGGGTTGTCACCAAGGCTTCTGCAGACTGTGCCCTGGTCAGGGGTACTGATCACCCCCCCACCCCGCCCCCCCAGGTGTGGTGAATGCAGCGCCTCCCTGTCGCACCAGTACTACGAGAAGGATGGACAGCTCTTCTGTAAGAAGGACTACTGGGCCCGCTACGGCGAGTCGTGCCACGGGTGCTCCGAGCACATCACCAAGGGGCTGGTCATGGTGAGCGCCCCTCTGGGGGGCCGGGAGGGGGGAAGGGGCAGGGCAGGTCCTCACAGGTGTGAAGTCCCCAGGCTTCGTTTGTCAGCTCCACATCTGAAGCTCCAGCTCTCTGGGACCTCGGCTGTGCCCACCCACCCCCAATCCCCGCAGCGCACCCAGAGCGGCCCTGATGCAGGGAGGCCCAAGGGAGCAGCTATGGGGACGACTGAGGGGGCAACTGGACTGAGTTCTCCTCGGTCAACTTTGCATCTCTGTACCCCCCCACACACACACCTCGCTCTCCCCACCCCCAGGTGGCTGGGGAGCTGAAGTACCACCCCGAGTGCTTCATCTGCCTCACGTGCGGGACCTTCATCGGCGACGGGGACACTTACACGCTGGTGGAACATTCCAAGCTATACTGGTGAGGACCCACCTGAGACCCAGGGCTGCCAGGGACACAGCCAGCCCCAGGGCCCTTCCCTTTCCAGGCAAGATTGAGGTGGGGTGGGGTGGGGGTGGCTGTCAGTAGCACCCCCTTCCCTCAGGATGGAGATGGGGCATGGAAGACTGGGAGCACCCCAAGTGTCAGCTTGCTGATGCAGCAAGCTGGAGGGGAGGACCGGGCTTGGCGTGCCCTCCCGGACTGGCTCGGAGCTGGGCATGCTCGGTGCCCACTCCCAGTTCAGGGGAGGGAGAGGAGAGGGAAATCACCGGTGCAGGGGCTGGGGGGGCTGCTGGCTGGAGGGCACTGGGGAACCTCCTGATGCACGCACCCCTGACCCTGGCTCTGCAGCGGGCACTGCTACTACCAGACCGTGGTGACGCCCGTCATTGAGCAGACCCTGCCGGACTCCCCTGGCTGCCATCTGCCCCACACCGTCACCCTCGTCTCCATCCCCGCCTCAGCCCATGGCAAACGCGGCCTCTCGGTCTCCATCGACCCCCCCCACGGCCTGCCGGGCTGCGGCACTGAGTATTCACACACTGTCCGAGTCCAGGGGTGAGTGGCCGACCCGCAGCAGGTCTGACTGGGACCCAG